CCTGAGTATTCCCGGAATTCCCAAAACATTCCCGGGATATTCCCGGAATTCCCAGGATTCCCGGTGAATATTCCCGGGATATTCCCAGAAAATTTCCCTCTCCCCATTCCCAGTGTCCCGTTTTTCCCGGTGTCACTCCCGGTGTCACATTCCCGGTGTCACATTCCCAGTGTCACTCCTGGTGTCATTCCCGGTGTCACTCCCGTTTTTCCCGGTGTCACTCCCGGTGTTCCCGGTGTCACTCCCGGTGTCATTCCTGCTGTCATTCCCGGTGTTGTTTCCTGGTGTGTGATTTTTTCCCAGTGTAATTTTTCCTGATGTCACATTCCCGGTGTGATTTTTCCCAGTGTTGTTTCCCGGTGTTGTTTCCCGGGTGTGATCTTTCCCGGTGTAATTTTTCCCGGTGTTGTTTCCCGGTGTGATTTTTCCCAGTGTAATTTTCCCCGGTGTGATCTTTCCCGGTGTGATTTTTCCTGATGTCACATTCCCGGTGTGATTTTTCCCGGTGTTGTTTCCCGGTGTTGTTTCCCAGTGTTGTTTCCGGGTGTGATCTTTCCCGGTGTAATTTTTCCCGGTGTTGTTTCCTGGTGTTGTTTCCTGGTGTTGTTTCCTGGTGTTGTTTCCCAGTGTGATTTTCCCCGGTTTGATCTTTCCCGGTGTTGTTTCCCGGTGTTGTTTCCCGGTGTAATTTTTTCCCAGTGTTGTTTCCGGGTGTTGTTTCCGGGTGTTGTTTCCTGGTGTAATTTTTCCCGCTGTGATTTTTTCCCAGTGTAATTTTTTCCGGTGTAATTTTCCCGGTGTGATTTTTCCCGGTGTTGTTTCCTGGTTTGATCTTTCCTGGTGTAATTTTCCCCGGTTTGATCTTTCCCAGTGTTGTTTCCCAGTGTAATTTTTCCCGGTGTGATCTTTCCCGGTGTGATGTTTCCCGGTGTCATTTTTCCCAGTTTAATTTTTCCCGGTGTGATTTTTCCCGGTGTTGTTTCCCGGTGTTGTTTCCCGGTGTTGTTTCCCAGTGTGATCTTTCCCGGTGTTGTTTCCCGGTGTTGTTTCCTGGTGTGATCTTTCCCGGTGTTGTTTCCCAGTGTAATTTTTCCCGGTGTTGTTTCCTGGTGTGATCTTTCCCGGTGTTGTTTCCCGGTTTGATCTTTCCCGGTGTTGTTTCCCGGTGTGATTTTCCCCAGTGTGATTTCTCCCGGTGTTGTTTCCGGGTGTGATTTTTCCCGGTGTTGTTTCCCGGTGTTGTTTCCCAGTGTTGTTTCCCGGTGTCGCTTCCCGGTGTTGTTTCCGGGTGTGATCTTTCCCGGTGTTGTTTCCCGGTGTTGTTTCCCGGTGTGATCTTTCCCGGTGTGATTTTTCCCGGTGTCCTTTCCCGGTGTGATCTTTCCCGGTGTGATTTTTCCCGGTGTTGTTTCCCGGTGTAATTTTTTCCCAGTGTTGTTTCCCGGTGTTGTTTCCTGGTGTGATCTCTCCCGGTGTCGTTTCCCGGTGTTGTTTCCCGGTGTGATTTTCCCCAGTGTGATTTCTCCCGGTGTTGTTTCCGGGTGTGATTTTTCCCGGTGTTGTTTCCCGGTGTTGTTTCCCGGTGTTGTTTCCTGGGTGTGATTTTTCCCGGTGTCGTTTCCCGGTGTGATTTTCCCCGGGTGTGATCTTTCCCGATGTTGTTTCCCAGTGTAATTTTTCCGGGTGTGATCTTTCCCGGTGTCGTTTCCCGGTGTTGTTTCCGGGTGTGATTTTTCCCGGTGTTGTTTCCCGGTGTTGTTTCCGGGTGTGATTTTCCCCGGGTGTGATCTTTCCCGGTGTTGTTTCCCGGTGTTGTTTCCCGGTGTTGTTTCCCGGTGTTGTTTCCGGGTGTGATCTCTCCCGGTGTCGTTTCCCGATGTTGTTTCCCGGTGTTGTTTCCCGGTGTTGTTTCCCGGTGTCGTTTCCCGGTGTGATCTTTCCGGGTGTGATCTCTCCCGGTGTCGTTTCCCGGTGTTGTTTCCCGGTGTGATCTTTCCCGGTGTCCTTTCCCGGTGTCGTTTCCCGGTGTTGTTTCCTGGTGTGATCTCTCCCGGTGTCGTTTCCTGGTGTCATTTTTCCGGGTGTGATCTTTCCCGGTGTCCTTTCCCGGTGTCGTTTCCCGGTGTGATCTTTCCCGGTGTGATCTTTCCCGGTGTCGTTTCCCGGTGTTGTTTCCGGGTGTGATCTCTCCCGGTGTCGTTTCCCGGTGTAATTTTTCCGGGTGTGATCTCTCCCGGTGTCGTTTCCCGGCACAGGCGGCTCCATCAAGGTGGAGATGTCGTCGGACGAGGATTCCCGGAGCCGCGGAGCCGCCGAGGATTCGCCCCCGGAGCCGTTCCCGGATCCGCCCGGGATTCGCCTTCCCAACGGGAAACTGCAGTGCGACATCTGCGGGATGCTGTGCATCGGCCCCAACGTGCTGATGGTGCACAAGCGCAGCCACACCGGTCAGGATTCCCAAAAAAACCTGGGAATTCCCAAAAAAACCCGGGAATTCTGGGGAAAAAATGGGAATTTGGGGGGTTCTGGGGGTGCTGGGAATGGGGAATCCTGGGAATTCCCAGGTGTGGGATGCTGTGCATCGGCCCCAAGGTGCTGATGGTGCACAAGCGCAGCCACACCGGTCAGGATTCCCAAAAAAACCTGGGAATTCCGGGAATTCCGGGGAAAAAATGGGAATTCCAGGAAAAAAACCGGGAATTTTGGGGGTTCTGGGGGTCCTGGGAATGGGATCTGGGGTTGGGAATCCCGGGAATTCCCAGGTGTGGGATGCTGTGCATCGGCCCCAAGGTGCTGATGGTGCACAAGTGCAGCCACACCGGTCAGGATTCCCAAAAAAACCTGGGAATTCCCAAAAAAACCCGGGAATTCTGGGGAAAAAATGGGAATTTTGGGGGTTCTGGGGGCCCTGGGAATGGGGAATCCCGGGAATTCCCAGGTGTGGGATGCTGTGCATCGGCCCCAACGTGCTGATGGTGCACAAGCGCAGCCACACCGGTCAGGATTCCCAAAAAAACCGGGAATTCCCAAAAAAAACGGGAATTCCGGGATTTTCCATGTTTTTCCAGGGGAAAGGCCGTTCCAGTGCCAGCAGTGGGGTTTTTATGATAATTTGGGATAATTCCCATTGGAATTCCGGGATTTTCCATGTTTTTCCAGGGGAAAGGCCGTTCCAGTGCAGGATTAGGGTTTTTTTGGGATAATTTGGGAATGATTCCCATTGGAATTCCGGAATTTTCCATGTTTTTCCAGGGGAAAGGCCGTTCCAGTGCCAGCAGTGGGGTTTTTTTGGGATAATTCAGGATAATTTTGGATAATTCCCATTGGAATTCCGGGATTTTCCATGTTTTTCCAGGGGAAAGGCCGTTCCAGTGCAGGATTAGGGTTTTTTTGGGATAATTTGGGATAATTCCTGATGGAATTCCGGGATTTTCCATGTTTTTCCAGGAGAAAGGCCGTTCCAGTGCCAGCAGTGGGGTTTTTTGGGATAATTCGGGATAATTCCAATGGGAATTCCGGGATTTTCCATGTTTTTCCAGGGGAAAGGCCGTTCCAGTGCCAGCAGTGGGGTTTTTATGATAATTTGGGAATGATTCCAGTGGGAATTCCGGGATTTTCCATGTTTTTCCATGGGAAAGGCCGTTCCAGTGCAGGATTAGGGTTTTTTGGGATAATTTGGGAATGATTCCAGTGGGAATTCCGGGATTTTCCATGTTTTTCCAGGAGAAAGGCCGTTCCAGTGCCAGCAGTGGGGTTTTTTGGGATAATTCGGGATAATTCCAATGGGAATTCCGGGATTTTCCATGTTTTTCCAGGGGAAAGGCCGTTCCAGTGCCAGCAGTGGGGTTTTTATGATAATTTGGGATAATTCCCATTGGAATTCCGGGATTTTCCATGTTTTTCCAGGGGAAAGGCCGTTCCAGTGCCAGCAGTGGGGTTTTTTGGGATAATTCCCATTGGAATTCCGGGATTTTCCATGTTTTTCCAGGAGAAAGGCCATTCCAGTGCCAGCAGTGGGGTTTTTTGGGATAATTCGGGAATAATTCCCGATGGAATTCCGGGATTTTTTCCAGGAGAAAGGCCGTTCCAGTGCCAGCAGTGGGGTTTTTTGGGATAATTTGGGAATGATTCCCATTGGAATTCCAGGATTTTCCATGTTTTTCCAGGAGAAAGGCCGTTCCAGTGCCAGCAGTGGGGTTTTTTGGGATAATTTGGGATGATTCCCGATGGAATTCCGGAATTTTCCATGTTTTTCCAGGGGAAAGGCCGTTCCAGTGCCAGCAGTGGGGTTTTTTGGGATAATTTGGGATAATTCCTGATGGAATTCCGGGATTTTCCATGTTTTCCCAGGAGAAAGGCCGTTCCAGTGCAGGATTAGGGTTTTTTTTGGGATAATTCAGGATAATTCCTGATGGAATTCCGGGATTTTCCATGTTTTTCCAGGGGAAAGGCCGTTCCAGTGCCAGCAGTGGGGTTTTTTGGGATAATTCCCATTGGAATTCCGGGATTTTCCATGTTTTTCCAGGAGAAAGGCCATTCCAGTGCCAGCAGTGGGGTTTTTTGGGATAATTTGGGAATGATTCCCGATGGAATTCCGGAATTTTCCATGTTTTTCCAGGAGAAAGGCCGTTCCAGTGCAGGATTAGGGTTTTTTTGGGATAATTTGGGAATGATTCCCGATGGAATTCTGGGATTTTCCATGTTTTTCCAGGGGAAAGGCCGTTCCAGTGCCAGCAGGGGGTTTTTTGGGATAATTCAGGATAATTTGGGAATGATTCCAGTGGGAATTCCGGGATTTTCCATGTTTTTCCAGGGGAAAGGCCGTTCCAGTGCCAGCAGTGGGGTTTTTTG